TGTCTGTCCCCACCTCCCCCTACCACCACTAGTCCATCAGCTCCACGGGGGCAGGAACCCTGTCTTCTGTACCTCTGTTTCCACAGTGCCTGGCACAGTTGCAGGAGTCAAAAACGGCTGATGAATGGTTAGAATTCATGATTTTTTTTAATCATTATGTATCTTTTCTCAATAAATAGACATTAAAAGTACAACTACTATGTCCCATGCAGGTGTGGTTTCTTTTCCTAGAGAACACAATATTTGCAACTCATATCATAAACAAATGGCTAATTTCTTAACATACTTTTTTAAATCTTCAAACTAAGAAAGTCATTGACAAAATGAGCAAAAGGTATAAATTGTTCACAAAAAAGTAAGATAAATGACTCCTAAATATAGGCAAAGATGCAGAATTTTACTCAAAATAAGGCAAAAATAAATTAAAGCTACTAGATACTTTTCACCTTTCAGCATGGTAAAGATTCAAAGTGTAATAACACTTTGTAGAGTATGAAAAACCATGCTCTCTCATACATTGCTGGTGGCAGTTTAAGTGATATAATCTTCTTGGAGAGCAATTTGGAATTTTCTATGAAAATTACAAGTGCACATGGCCTTTGACCCAGCATCTTAAGTTTCAGGAATTTATCCTATGAACATACTTTCACAAAAGCAAAATAATGTACATGTTCAAGGATATTCACTACAGCATTTCCTACAGACAAAAAAACAACAGAAATATCCAGAAATTACAGGACATCCATACAATGGAATATTAAGCAGCTGCATGAAAGAACTGGGCAGCTCTTTATTTACTCACATGAAAAAGTCGCCATGACATGTTGGTTAGTTAAAAAAGCAAATTTCAGGAGTTATTATATGCGTTTTTTTGTTTTTTGTAAATACGTAAGACATGCTTGTAAATACACCAAATGTCCCTGAAATGACACGCAAAATACTAGTAACTTTGGTTACATCTAGGGAAAAGAACTGAATGCCTGTGGGATGGAGAAAGGCTTCCTTTGGTAACTTTTGGACTTGAAATCATTATTTACGTATACGATTATTAACTATCCAAAACAAATCAACTCAAAAGAATCATATTCATACACAAAAAGTTTTCAAATTATTGATCTGCAAGACCTCTCAAGATTCTTCAAAACTTCAGATTACGTGTTATTCCAAAATTTCAGAGGTTAATAAAAAGAAATCATACACTTATCCTTATTCCTTTTGCACCATAAGTACTTGATGGATAATTATTCCTTGATGTAACAGACTTTTTTCTCATTCTAGCACAGGATCCCATTCTCCTCCACTAAGACTTCCAACACCTGAAGTCCACAGCCTGACTCCCCACAGCTCTTCATTCTATGCCATGGAAGATATATTCCTGGGAGGTTATATTTTGAAATCTAATATAAACAATGGATATTTATTGTGCCTGAATACTAATTTTTTCTAAAAGATGCTGTCACAATAAATAGTATAAGATAATTTAGCGGCCTTCTAGGGCTTTTCATCTCCTCCAGCTTAAGAGTTAGGACATGTTTATATGAAAAAATAACTACCATGCTCGGAAAGATATTACAAATGCCAAATAAGTAGTACAAATAAGCAATCCCTCAAGAAATTCATGAGAAAACACCACATCTACCAGGGTAGTCAGGAAAGGTTTCAAAAGAGAAACAGAACCTGAGTTGGGCTTGATGGATGATCCAATTTCAACAGACAAGGGACTGCACAGTAAGGGACAAATTTCAGGTGATTCACAAACAGGAGAGCAGGCCAGGCTGGACAAACGGAGCCTGCAGGTGGTAGGGAGTGCTCCCAGCACCTGGGAGTCCACTTAAACAGTCCCTGATGCCTGTATCCTTCCAATACCTTGGATTAGTTATGATTCTTCCTAATATCTCCCAGAGTTGTCATTTCTTCTCCATTCTCACCATCTCAGAGCAATCCAAATTCTCATTGCTGCCTCTGCAAAGATCTCCAAACTTGTCCTCCTGTTTCCAACCTCCCCTATCTCCAATACATAGCACACAACTCAAGACATTTGTTATTTTATATGTATAACTCACTCACCCCAAAGCCACCAATGGCTAACCACTGCCTGCAAAATACAATTCCTCTGCCTCTCACCTGAGGCCTTCTAACATCTGCTCTCTACCCAGCTCTCACTCCAGCACTGGATTCACGCTCCCTAAACATAATATACAAATTTCATGCCTATGCCCACACTGTTGTTTTCATCTAGAAAATTCTCCTTGTTTTGTTCTCAGGCAGGGCACAAATGGTTGTAAAGGTTGTGAACACCACAGTGTATATAAACGACACCCCCTGCCAGTGTTGGGCAGTGCATAACCTCTGCGACCTTCCAAAGATGGCTTGTTTCCATCCTCCCCCACCTTGAAGGCGTTCCCAGAACAACTCAACTCAACCGTTGATCAGCTGTGCCTCTGATTCCTACATCAACAACCTGCTATCTTTTCTTTACAAAAAAAGTTACGGGGGCCGGTCCGGTGGCATAGTGGTTAAGTTTATACGCTCTGCTTCAGTGACAGCCAGGGTTTGCTGGTTTGGATCCTGGGCACAGACCTACTCATCACTCATCAAGCCATGCTGTGGCAGCATCCCACATAGAAAAACTAGGACTTACAACTAGGACATACAGCTATGTACTGGGGCTTTGGGGCGAAAAAGAAAAAAAAAGAGGAAGACTGGCAACAAATGTTACCTCAGAGTCAACCTCCCTCACCAAAAAAAAAAAAAAAAAAAAAAAAGTTACAATATTTAGAACACCAACAGTGCCTTGGACACAGCAGATACCCAAAAGATGCTTGCAAATTATAATGGGATAAGCCAAGAAAGGTAGATTGTGGTTAAACTGCAGAGAGCCTTAAAGGCCAAGAAAGAAGTTTTGATTTTATTTGGTAGATGCCAAATGTGGTTAAATGATCAGAATCATTTTTAAGAAAGATTAAATTTCAGCAACCACACGCTAGCAGGGTTTGAAAGACTATAGTGAAAGTGCCAGCTTAGGGGCCCTCATGGTTGGAGGAGGCCTGTGGGATGCTCCCTCCATAGTGTGCAGCTTCCTCAGTCCTTTATTATCCTTCAGTTTTTCTGTTTGGAATTATAGATACAGTTTCCTATACCTACACTCAGAGAGTGAAGCTTAAAATTGGGCCATTAAGCCAAGAAAAACATGCTTTGCCTGAAATATCTGGGTATCTAGGAAACAGTTCTGACGTGAATAATTATATACATACATAAAACACATATACAAATTAAGCATTACTCTTATCTTCTTCCTTCACTTCTTTTCCAGTCTTCCTCTTTTCCATCTGTCTCTTCGCTTTTTGGTTTCTCTCTCTCTCACTAAAATTATTATTCACATCTCGCATTTCTTTCCAAATGCTTTACATTAAAGATCTCCAAACCATCCTCCCCTTTCCCAAAATTCCCTCCATCCCCCCAAAATTATTACTCAGGTTATTTTACTGTTTTTGCTTATATACTGATTAGCTAACTGCCTCAACATTCATACTAATAACTCAATTGTCCTGTTTCCTTCGCTAATGTAGCTTGAACTTGCACTAACCTCAGAATTCTACAGTTACTAGTGAATCATTTCAAGGCCAATCATTTATGGCTCATTTTCCTATGGCCCTCTGAAAGAATCAAGGGCACTTATGCATTTAGATATATAAATTAATTTCATTGTACTGGTGGAGTACAAATAAGTAATTCTTATCTGTAAATTGAAAACTCAGTTAGAACCTAATACATTAAACAAAATGAGTTTCCTAATGAATTTCCTTTCAAAGCATGTATCTTAGATTTCATGCCAAGATGGCATATCAGTAATGGACTCTGTGGTACTAGACAATTTTATTTACTTCTTAGATTTAAATAGAAATCTTTACTCTCCAGAGGAAGACTACCATGTGGAAGTAATCCACTGCAATATCAAGGCACACAGCACCATTGGAAACTGCACACGCCTATCAGCAAAAGATTACCAGGCAGCAACCTTATTTAAAAAATGAATGGAGGGGGAATCTTAACACAGTATCAAAGGCAAAACAGAATATACAATTTTGTGTTTGTGCTCAAAGAGGCTGTGTCCCTTGAAGTCCAACTTTACTTTGTTTATTCCTCCCACCACATATGCAAAATAAACTCACCAGAACTGAAAACAGAAGTTATGTTATCACTATTGAAAGGTAAGCACGATCTAAGGAAAGATTAAAATATTTTCCTCTCACCCTAGTAAAGTGAAAATAAAAAACATTACCTACTCCAATACTGTTTTAAGATTTAAGGCAGTTTAAATTTTTCTCCCTTCCCACCCTTCAGATCCCTCTGAGAGCCACAGCGCGAATCTCTGGTACCAAGTGGTGGCCAGGTGCTTTGCTGCCAACTCCACACTTTGCAGGAAAAGAAGAGAACAAAGGGCACAGACATCTATTATTGAGAGTCTATCGTTAAGTTAATCTCCTTTAGAATACAACAATTCCATTAGAGCACATACTACGCAGAGAGCATAGAACGTGTGGGCAGTGTATAGCAGACCACATTTCAGATAGCAAGACTTCATCTATTCAAATATCACCAAAAATTGGCAAATAACTCAAACTGCTCTTAGTCCAAGGCTAAATTGTTGAATACTAATAATAAAGTTTATTAAAATATAATTAACCTGCTGCCATTTGCTCAAAAGTAAACTAAAAAGATGAGAGGCTTGTTTATCTCTCTCTGCCCCTCCCCATCCTGGCGATTCGCTCTCAAGAAGGGGGTCAAGTGTATAGACCCAAGCAGGCTTATGTCCGGGAAAAGAGGTGGGGGTAAAGGACCAACCCGTCTTTTGGCGGGCCGCGCCTGGGGCCTTGTTGGGCCCTGAACCCAGCCTGGCTCAACCTCCCGGAGGCAAACAGGACGGAGACGGGACCGACGGACGGGACGGACAGACGCGACAGGACGGACGGGACGAGCAGAGAAGCAGTGCGTCCTACCCGGAGGGCTCCCTCCCAGGGCCGGCGGAGTACCTGCTCCGGTCATCCAGGCTGCGGTTGTCGGCCGCCGCGGCGCGCCAGTCGGGCAGGGTGCTGGCGCACAGCACCACCATGGACACGATCACGAACACCACCGACACGCTGGCCAGGATCTGGGCGGCCAGCGACGACGTGGGCTCCTCGAAGGTCCGCCGCATGCGCTCCAGCCAGCGCCTGGAGGGGGCCGCCTCGGCACCGCCGGGTCGCGCCTCGTCGCGGCCCAGCGCGCCCGGCTCGTCGGCTGAGTAGAAGGTGTAAGTGTCGGACATGCGGTCGTCGAGGCGGCGCTGGCAGCAGTACTCGAGGTGCGCGCCCTCCAGGCCCCAGTAGATCATCTCGTTGTAGAAGGAGAGCTCGCACATCCGCGGCGCGAAGCGCAGCTTGCCATGGCCGCGCACGTAGAGCAGGATGAAGCCGAAGGCCTCCGAGTGCCGGTCGAAGAAGTACTCGTTGCGCTCGCGGTCGTAGTCGTCGCACACCTCGAGCACGTCGCGCTCCGAGCGGCAGCCGTGCAGCCGGCTCACGCGGCGCAGCGGGAAGTCCTTCAGCAGCTCCCGGGACAGCGAGTACCGGGCGCCGCCCACGTTCAGCACCACCGAGGCCGCCCCGCTGCGCCCGAAGGTCATGGCTGGCCGCCACGAGGCCCCGAGGCCGAGGGCGCCGCCGCCGCCCCCCCGGGGTCTGCCTGTCTTGGGCCGACGGGGGAGCGCGCCGTCGGGGCCCGCGGGCTGTCCGGCGGGCTCTCCCTCGGGGCTCCGCTCCTGCCCTTCGCTGGCTCGGGGGCCACTCGGCTCTAGCCTGCTCTGCAGCCCGGCGTCACCGCTAGCAACGCTCCCTCCGCGCGGCGGTACCTGCAGGTGGCCAGGGAGTCCCCTCCGGCTCCAGCGCTGCGCCCCGCTGGCCGAGAACGAGGCTGTCAGCGCCGCCGCCTCTCGTGCCCGGGGGATGCCCCCTCCGAGGCCAGGGTGCCCTTTCAAGGCGGCGGCGCTGTCCCCCCTGAGGGGCGCGGGCGCCGAGAGGAGGCGCCGATGCGGGATGGCTCCGGGTCCCCGGCGATCCCTCTGGTCGCGGCTCTGGCAGCCGCCCCGCCGCCGTCCAGAGGCGAGAGGCAAAGTGAGCGGGTTCGGAGGCGGAGAAGAGCCGGCCCGGAGAGGCGGGGGCGGGGCCTCCTCGCGGTCCCCCCTCCTCGCCTCGCGGCCCCGCTCCGCTCACCTCCCTCCGCGCGCCGCCCTCCTCTTCCCACCCGCGCCCGCACCGCCCGGGCTCGCTCGGGCTGGGATTCCCCGGCGCCCCGCCCTAGACCTCGGGCTCCCCGCCTCGCAACGCCATCCTCCCGCTGCGCTCCCGCCCGCAGAGGCCGGGAGAGGTCCCGGGGCGGGGATGCGAGGACCGGGGAGCCCCGGTTGGAGGGGGGAGCACAGCCCCGCGGCCGGGGTGCCTGCTCCCGCGTCCCTCCCCGAGCCATTGGGATGACTTGGGCAGCCCCCAAGGGTCCTTTTAACAGCTCCCAAAGTGAGGCGACAGGAGGGTAAGGAAGGGTGAGGACTGGAGTGCGGGATTTGAGGGGCAGGGACAGACGGCGTTGGGAGAGCTTTTTCCAGAAACTATCCGGAACCCATCTCGGTTTCTGAGACCGCCCCAAAGGATTTCTTAGAGAAGGCACCCCAGCAATCGGTTTTCTAGTCTACTTTGCTCTTCCTCTCCCGGTGCTGAGATTCACGTACCGCGTGCTCTGAAGGCGGCCACACACCCCAGCAACCAGCCTCCGGGCCTCGCTGCCTCCCGCCCTCCCGCGGAGGGGAGCGGCCCTACCCCCGCTTTCTGGGGCGTCAGTCCTAAGAGGGCGCCTACGTGCAGTGCGCCTGGACCCTCTCGTGACGCTCCCTGTAGAGTGGGGTGAAAGTCTGGGGAGAATCGCCCTGCCACTGGCAAGAACAGAATTTCCCGTTGCCTTCGTCTGCATCTCCTTTTTTAAGGTCTTGATTTCCCCCGTGCACCCCCGAGTCGCCTGCAGCACCGGCCCTTGGAGCTTGAAGAGCCCCGAACTGCCTCGCGCTCTGGTCGATGCCCAGGGAGTGGGTTCCACCTTGCCAGAGACTATTTTAAACTGCTACCCGCAATTCACACGACATCCGACACCGGCAGCCCAGCCCACGCAGTGCCCGCCAGAGGCGAAACAGGTGAGTTGTAAGGCAAACGATGTTAAATGCATAAACAAATGCTGGAATTAAAAATAAGAGTCGGGTGGGGTGGGATGCTGTCATCTGACCTCATAATAACCCAGCTGGTTACTGGGAAGGGTTTTACTTTGCCCTTTACTTTTTGTAATGTTGTAGGGTTGTCCCGTGCCCACTAGAGGTCACCATAAAGAGTCATTTTTCTAGTGTGGTTCTGGTGTGTGGATTCCTAGTGAAAAAGCAGACACTAAAAATTGGAGTGATCTCTCTCACGAAGTAAAATCACTCTGGGTGGTTTTTTGAGGAATGAAAATCTCTATAAATTGTTTATCCCTAGTCTTGGATAATTTATCTTAAAAGCACTTAATGTGATTAAAAGCTCAAAAACTGGAGTTGTTTCCTAACTACTAAACCGGGAAAACATCCTGAAGGAAATGAGTTTCGAGACAGAATCGAAGGCGGGGATGGTCATGAGCAGGCAGAGAGAAAGAGCAGAGCATTCCGAGTAGCAAAATCCCAGATGTGGAGGATTAAAATCGTTAAAGAAACTAATGCATTTGCTTGGCTGAAAGATGGGGATCTCAACTGCAGAATTCAGATTTCATCCTATAAGCAATGGGATACCTGAAGAGTTTAATAACAGAAATGGCTTGATGAAAGCTTTATTTCAGGAAGATTCCTTTACCCTGTGGTTTATTCTAAGAGGGCTATTTCTGCAACCGACCGGGAATCCCACCCCTAAATGTTTGTAGATGAGGAAGGGTCAGTTCCGAGAAACAGGGAGACCAAGGACTCAGCAGGGCTTGGAAATGGATTTGTTATAGGATTATGAGATTGGAGAAAAGTTTGCAGATGTGAGCCAAGAGAAGAGCCTGGCTTCACACCAGCAAGAGCCAATTCCTCTGGGAGTTGTTAAAAATAGTTTCTAGAAGCATCACAAGCAACAGAACACAGAACAACTATTCTGTTGATTATTTGCTCCAAGATTACTATATTTATTTCCTGTGTTCTCTATCTGAAATCTCTTGAAAGTCGATTCATTGAACCCATTGAAGAAATATCACATATTAAATTAAATTTGAGTTTAGGAAACAAATTAATTTGACGACAATACACTTTGCCTCCTAGGTATATTTTCATAAAATTTCTTAGAGAGATAGATTTAAATCATTTCATTTGTTTCAAGAGTAATATTCTTATTTGGTTTTAATATCATCAACTACTGCAGCAGCAGCAATACCCAAATCATTTTCTTAAACAAAAGAAACAGTAAAATGCAGAAATGATTGGCTTGTCTCCAACTAATCTGGTTAGAAAGCATTCCTAAAAACAATTCTATCCCTTTGTACTTTGAAAAGAAGATTATGTGGAGAATTATTACATCTAAATTCTTTTCTGGATTCTGGATGATATTTTGGATCTTCATATATAAATCTTTAGAATGCATCAGGCGGAATTTTAGAATTTGAAGATTTCTAAAGATTAAGATTTTCTACTCTTAATTTATTAACCCATTATTTAGAAAGGAGTAACAAGGTTTCAGAGATATGACTGTGCCTTGCCCAGCAAGGTTCCCCGGCTGGCAGTATCATGGTAAAGACGAGGCTGGAACCAGGTTTTCTAGTTCCGAACTCTAGTCACTCCATCTGCAGGGCCTGCATTGCTGTCGCAGCCTTCTGTCTCATCTCTGGGCACTCCAGTTCTTTTCTCCCTCTGTGAACCCTGTATTATGCCACCGGACAGCTCTCCTGTTCATTTTCATCAAGTCATTCCCCAGTTCAAGAACCTAAAAGATCTACAAAATTACAAATTGTCCATACAGTAAAGTCCAAGCTGATTGTTAGGGCCCTCCCTCAATTCACATCCTGGCTGCACAACTTATTTGCTAAGTGTCTTGGAGCAAGTTCCTTAACGTCTTTGAGCCTGTTTTCTCACCCATAGAACAGAGAGAATGATTGCTCTATCAGAGGGGTGATGTGAGGATTAAATGAGATGGTGTGAGGGTGGTAAATTGCTCAGTGCATGACAGTGGAAAAATCTCACTTCATGTATGTTTCCACTGGCCCAAACAGGCCATGCTCATCCTCATTCTGGGTTCTAAATGAATACAAATTGGACGAGTGAATTGATTCATCTAAAAATATGACCAATCACAAGTAACCTGAAACATCAAACATTCAGTGAAAGGTTGAGACCCTTATACTACTGAATCTGGGTTGAACAGAGATTCATCCAACATTTTGCACTGCATGACTGGATGTGTTCAGGGACTCTGAACACCTTTCCCCAAAGCTTTATAAATTGAAATACCCTGTGGGCACTACTGGCCCTTGCAGCTTACTTACCAACTCTGCTTTAAAAAGCCCTCGCTCTGCTGTTGATGCATATTTCCAAGTGTTTGTGTTTAAACCAGTTTATTTCTCAGCATCTGCAGAATCAGTGGATGCTTTAAAGAGTCAGTTTTTTGAATGGAAGTGTAGTCTTCCAATGTCTCTATTTTTATATAAATAAAAGACTCTAATGACTTCGCCCACTATGCACAAGTACCCCTAAGAAGGTTAAGCTGCACCTTTCAATAAACTGCCCTCAGAACCATCCTACCACATGGACCCCATTCTTAAAGGGGAGAAGCCACCAGAGGGACATGTCATCCCCATCCCACACCAATGTCCTTGCCTTTTTCTCTGCTCCAGGACACTTAATGCTCTTATGCAAGCAAAAGGAAGACTATCTTCCTTAGATCTCCACTTTGAGAGGGTCACTGTGTAATCATTATAGAGGAAGCAAAATTTTACCTCTACCCTCTTAGGATTTTCAACTGGGCCTGAAAATTAGAGTGATATAACACCGACTAATGGAAGAAAAGCATACAAATTTATTTTATATAAGTTTTGCATGACACAGTAGCCTTCATAAGGAAATGAAGACCCAAAGAAGTGGCAGAATCTAAATGCTTTTATACTATGTTGAACAAAGAGAGAGAATAGTGGAAAAGTAACTAAAATATGTGGGGCGGCTAAAGGAAGACAAGAATTGTTTTAACAAGGTCTGTTGATACAGAATTCCGTCAGCTTCAACTTCCGGTCCTTGATGATGAAAATGGTACTTTCCTCCTGGTACAGGGAGGACATCTTCCATATGGGGTTTTTATCTCCTGCTTTTAGGAAGAAAAGGGGGAAGTCAGAGCACCCTTCTTGTGCCTGATGTTTTTGTAAGAGCTTTTAGTTCAAAGTAATCCTTATGCCAAAGCGGCATATTCTGGGGTGGCATATCCTGCTCCTCTTCATCATTAGCAGCAAAAACATTTTTGGCACCATTACAGAAGGGCCCCACTCTCCTTTATCGTCACCCAACCCTCACTCCTGTCCTGCTGCTGTGTTGAATTGTGATGTGGTGGCCCTTCTCCCCACCACCACTCTGTGTCCCTTACTCCTTCCAGTGACTAAGCGCCCTTTCTATGTGGCACCACTAGCTCAGCTTTCCACAAAAATACTCTTACTATTACCCTCATTTTCCAGATGAGGGAATGAGGCCACAAGTGGTTACACTTGCTCAAGGACCCCCAGCTCCCAGGAAGTACTGGACCCAGTACTGAAACCCAAAGTCCATGCAGCCTCTCTTGCCTCCCATGCTGACCACCAGCTCTCCTCTCTACCAACCATCAAACACCCCAGGGGAGGGAGGAACAAGTTAGGTAATACCAGAAGAAGCAATCTGACAAATTTTGAATGTGGGTCATTCTACAAGATAGCTAATCTTCAAAAAGTCAGTTTCATATCCTGAAATATTGAAGGAGATAATATAATGTCTAGTATTTGCTTCAAAATAATGAGGGGCAGGGGCAAGTGGGTGGGAATATAGATGAGACAAAATTGGCCGTGTGTTGATCATTGTTGAAGCTGGGTGATGGGAGTTCATTATATTAATCTCTCTCCTTTTGTATTTATTTCAAATTGTCCATAATAAAAAAAGTCAAAATGAAAATTGTAAACCTTGAGCTTTATTTA